AGAAATACGTTTATGATAAAATTTTGGAAAATGGGCGTGGCACCGCCCACTTATGATCACATATGTGACCTGGTCTACGAAAAGGGAGCTTACGTGCGAAAAGTTTTCTGTGAAAAAGCTGTTAAAAGTGAAAATCATCTCATCTTCCATCCGAATCAACCAAAAAGTGAAAATTGATTTTTTTGACACCTAAGCCCCCTTTCCGTAGACCAGGTCACATATATGTATCTCGGTAACCGTTCAACAAATTTTTACCAAACTCAGTACGGTTATTGTGCTTACCACATAATTGAAATCAGAATAAAAGTACGGCCGCTTTTTATTTAACGGCAAATTTCAGAAATGCTTGAAACTTCAATAATTTACTAATTTACTCAAAATTGATACACCGCGGCTTACCATGTTGCGGTAGCTTTTGGAAATGTGAAAAACATATATTTAAAACTTGCGCCGGGTATTTAATGTTCGGCTCCGCCCGAACTTAGACTTTCTTACATGTTTTTTTATTGAATTTGGTAACTTTTTCTGACGTTTTTGGTAAAAATAAAAAAAAAGTTTTGGCAACACTGATATGTATGTCTATATATTGGTCATAACTAGACAAATGTGGATTTGGAAATGCTTCGAAATTTTAGTTTAATTTAAAATAGGTTTGGTAATTTTTTGTATAATTTGGTAAAAAATAAACAACTTATGGTAACACTGAACACATATAAGTAAAATATAGCCATCGAAAAGTCTACCCTACGTTGCTTATGCATTTGACAGAGTTTTCGTTCATTTTCTGACAGTCAGTTCCGGCAGCATATTCATATTAGGTTCTTTCCCGTACGCAACGTGGGATCCAGCGGGTGCCCAAAATAGCCCAGAAATCATTCCCGTACTCAACAAAATGGGTAATAGAGAGCGAAAATTGCAACATATTGGATCGTGTCTTCTTCTTCCTGCCCGAAACAGCCCGGACTTTTTCTCCGGGTAAAAATGGATAAAATGTCAAAGTGCATATCAGCTGTTTTACGTTTACATGTCCACGTGGTCAAGAGTAGCAAATATTTTTAACATAGCAATAACAAAATTAACTTATGTCTCTCACAGGCACAGCAAAATGAAGTCATTCTTAACATCATATTAAATTACGCTATCATGTCGTGACTAAACAATACACAAAAATTGGAAAATAACTTTTTACGAACCTTTGATACCCAGCAACGAAATAAGAAGGAGAATAGGAATGAAACGATACGAGTAAATACAAGTAAATACTCGGTACTTTTCGTTCGATACCGAGTAATTTTGGTATCGATACTTTTGAACCAAGTACTGAGTAGGTATCGAAAATCAAATATTTGTAGCGAAACCCGATACTAAAGGGCTGACTATAATGTGAATAAGCAAGCGTATGCAAATGTGCGAATAAACATAAATCCTATTCTGAAACTATAATGTACTTAACAAGGCCGTATTTAGGGGACGACTTTGTAAGGCCCAATTTCAGACGGTCTACTTACGTAGATATTGTTGATTAACTTCCACTATTCATTTTCGGATCATACAATTAATCTGCACTTAAATGGCCCATATTGGCTATTTAAATATGAGATATGCAACCCTGTTTTTGTACCAAACAACGAAGATTGATTGGTAGGTTGTTTAATCAATCCCTCTAAATCCCACCAAAAAACAATCAGCTGTTCAGCACAAAATGTAAACAAATAAGCAAATGCAACAACAATTTCAAGAAACAAGCAGCAGTGCTGCCAATTGTTTAGCATATTTAAACAAAAGTTGATATGAAACCCAACGAAAGCTAAATGGAATTTAAACAGCAATCCACAATTAACCTTAAGTGCCGTTTATATATTCATTTGAAATTGGCCCTAAGTGTTCTGACCGGCCCCAACGGCCCCATTCCGAAATATAGATATGTAGGATTTGCCTAAAAACTTGAAAAAAAGGCAAAATGAGCTTTGAAAAAAGGAGAAAAGGCATATATTCTTTAATTTTGATATGCACTTCCTGTATGTACAATGTGCATGTTCCATTAAAGATATTAAAAAATACATACAGTGGTCAAAAAATTATAGCCGAACCACTTTTTGTCAAGTTTTAACGTATCATTTTCGTTGTTATTTCATTTTGGTTATTTTTTATAAAAATATTGTTCATTCTTTAACAAAACCCGTGTAAATCCAAGTCTCCAAATTTGTGCAATATTAAAAAAAAATCAACAAACTTTTCGTACAAATTTCGAGCTTTTCTAAAAGTTCTAAAAAATCAATTGTAGTTTTTAGCCATTTAAAACTTGTACTTCATTCTACTAGAATTCAATGGGCAACAAAACTGAATACGCAGAATCTAATTAACAAAC